GTACATTGATTTCTATCTACGTTTGCTGCAGGAATTGTAAACAATGTTTCGGAAACATCCGATGCGGCAAATTCGGTCAATGATACCGATGGAGTATATTTCGTTCCGGCATTCAGCGGATTACAAGTATGTTTTATTATATTAAATTATGTTTTTTAACATCAAAAATTTATATATAAAAATATAAAATCATTTCTCCTTAAACAAAAATATATGTTTTTGTAGTTTAATCAAGAAAATTATTTTCTTTAAATTTTTCTTAACTATAAAAATAAAAGACAATATATATTTAAAAATATATATTATATCTTTTAATTTTAATAACAAATATGTATAAAATATTATTGCAATTTTTACTTAAACTAATATTTGAAAAATATTTTTTATTTATTTTATAATACGTTCAGAAGAAAAAGAAAACATTAAAGCATATAGATATACAATTAAGATAATAATAGATCTGTGCGAAAATATATAACTCGCTTATTATTTCAGGCACCCATAAATGATTATACAGCCGCAACTGGTTTCTTCGGTTTGAAGCCCACTACAAAAAAAGAACACATGATTCGATCTCTATTGGAGAGTTTCATTTTCAGAATACAGCTACTTTATGAATGTTTATGCAAGGAAACTTCTTTTACATATCAAAAAATAAAGTAAAAATTATACAATGATGTGTTTAAAAATCTATATTTATAATCTGCGTAATTAATGATACAAAAACTATTACAATATTATAAAAGAAAAACTACTTTGTTTATCTGTACTATTGATTTCTAACTTCTATTTCTAATGCAATACTTTATTTTAATATTTAAGTATTCATATATAAACATAACATTGATAATAATTGATAATAACATTGATAATAATATTGATAAATTGACATTGATAATAATATTTATATATAATATGATATATTGGACCAATATAAAATATTATTCTTTAGAGTCGATGGTGGAGTTACAAAGAATGATTTTGTTATGCAATCGTTAGCTGACTCGACAGGGTTAGAAGTGGAGCGTCCGGTATCTGTCGAAATGTCCATTTTAGGAGTAGCTTTTCTGGCTGGTTTACAATGTGGTACGAAAAAATCTCTATTATTATAATAATTCATCTATATTTTATATTTTACAATTGAACAATTTATTAGGAATTAATATTTTTTTTATGTAAGATGTCTTAAATTCTTTGTGTTGCACTACCCTTAGTATAATTTAGATCATTCATTTATTAACTTTTAATTCCTTTTAATCAGATAAACTATTGGATGCGTACTTTTCTAGACTTTTTAAGATATAATAATCGAATATTAAAAGTTATGCGACTGAATACACATAACTGTACTTACAATGATAACTTTTAATATATTGTTTAATACAATAATTTCAGGAATTTGGAAGAATAGAGAAGAATTGTTAGAACTCCGTCAAACGGACAAAATATTCAAACCAAACGAAGAATCGCGATTACCTTATCAATATGCGTTGCATCAATGGAAACGCGCAGTGGAGCGATTTAAAAATTGGTACTGATACATTGTTAAATCTATAATCAAATTTAACCTAAGATAAGTGATTATATCGTTATTTTATACTAAAACAATAGTTATATTTGACATTATATAGTGTCAATTTGACACTATAGTGCCTAATTGACACTATATAATGTCAAATATAACGATATAGTATTAAATTTAATTATCATTTTAGTATAAAATATTATAAAGTTAATACACAAAAATAAATCACAACGCATACAACAGTGTAATAAATATTAAATAAAAATAATTTTTAATGATATTGGGATATATTAAGAATTGTTTATAATATGCAGGGACAACATATATAAATGTATAATATATATATATGTATACATTTATATTATTTAATATTGCAAAGTTGATTAGCTGATCAGTCAGTATTTAGTAATAAGAATTAAAACAATTACATAAAATAACAGTATAGAGAGTAATTTTTCTAAAAACGCGAAAATTTTATTAATGATATTACTTTTGTCATTCATATTATATCGTACAGTTGCAATTTCAATATAATTCTCAATTAAAATGAAAGTTTTAATAATCCAATTCCAGATCATATCAATAAAGTGAAAACATATCATATTTATCACATAATGCAAAGTCATTATAGTTCTCGTAAGTCATAATATATAATCTAAAATTACATTTACGCAGAGATCATTAAAAAAATTAATTTCTTGGATCATTTTCCTATATAAAATTTAATAATTTAAACAGATTAAATAGAAATATATTATACAATTGTATGTACAATACTTTTTGTATAAACAACAATTCTATTATATTTTGTAGGTAATAAAATTAAGATTACACTTAATCTATTTATACATAGTCAATTTGTGTTACTTTTTGTTATATTATTCAATTTATCTTTGTAGAGTACGCACGTACATCAATAGAATTTTCATGAGTGTAACTCAAAAAATAATATTAAGATTATTATAAGATATTTATATTTCATTTAATTAAAATTAAGGTGCATTATTTTATCATGTAATTTTATAATAAAGTGCTAAATATGATGCTGCAGATTACAATTATTTATTACCGCTGGTTAAATTTGCTTTTCGGTAGCGAGGGAAAGTCAAGCAAACTGTGGATAATCAAACGAGTAATTGAAAGTGTACAATATACACTATTGGCGTGAAACGTGTAATAAGTGAAATTGCATGACCTACGCAAGCTGATACATATTAGGACGCGAGATCGCTTATCAGCTATTAGTTGCTAACTGGCTACAATGTAGAATTCATTAAGAATAACACGCATCTCATCCAAGTTAAATTTAGTCTTTACAGACGTAGAATAGGTAACACAGTTCTTTCCATATTTTACGACAACTTGGTCGTATTCACAGTTAAGCGGCAACTTTCAGTGTTTGTTTCAGTTATCTGAAATTTATTGTTTGTATAACTTATTGTTTCAACGAAAAAATTGTGTTCAACTACATGTAAAATTGAAAAAACAATTTAAACTTATTCATAAAGTGTTAATCATAGCGTTATTTAACATAATTATATATTTATTACTATTTATATAAATTAATTAATTTAAATTGATAGTGAATGATAATTTAAAATGATGTCGGGTATGAAAAATTTGAAGCAGGCAGTTATGCCTATTATATGGCTCAATTGTATATTTTGCATGGGAATATTCGAAATACCCATAAATCATCCACGATATTTTCTGAGTATTTTTTACGTCATCTCGATAATGACTGGATATTTCATTATATTTTACAAAGGAATTCATATCTTCCAGCAAGCGTTTGCTTTTGAGTTTATAATATTTCATTTTGTCTTGGGGGTTCATGTCTTAGTTGCCGTTTTAGCTATAATTCTGTTTTGGTGGAAGTCAGAGGTACGTAACAAACATAAATTTAATGTAAAATTAGTAGATATGGTATATGAAAATTATGAAAAGATTACTAATGAAGTTACAGAAACTTCAGTTAGCTAATTTCAAAATATATTAATAAAGAATTTTTTTGTTACATCATTTTTGTAAATATAAGACAACGTTAAATAATATTAGGCGTAGTAAAAAGAAATCCATTATTTTTCCAATAGATGGCTTTAGTAATCTTGTCTACGCATTAGTATCTCGCCTACGCGTGATACAGATTATTAAAGCCATCTATTGGAAAAATAATAGATTTCTTTTTACTACACCTAATACATTGAGCGCGTATATTTTTTTCATCATGACGTTTTATGTTTTCGAATAATTATTATTCAACAAATTTATTAATCTATTACTAATCTATTACTAATCTATTAATGAATTTCGACATTTAAAGAATATGATGAACATAATTAAGAGCAATGGTATAGCGGACCATACTTTAAACACACTGGGCATAAAAATAGAATATGAGAAAACCTCTTGCAACATTCTAAATTTTGTGGCTATCTGGTCGGTATGCACAATAACAGTAAACATCTTGTACATAATATGGCTTTATCATGATATTGGGTGCTGGATTGCTCTTTATAGCTGCATATGCATCTGTTTTCCGGTTACGATAAATTCTGTAGTAGAGCTTACCTTCGCTTCGCTTATCAGGCAAGTAATATATTTCTTGAAAAATACTCACACATCTTGTAAAAAATTTATCTTAAAATACAAAAATTGATAAGATTTCTTTAGAGATTTCTTTATCTTGATTTCCAAGATATTTATTAATCATAATAATATTTTTTTAAATTGTTGCAATGGAAAGTAAATATAATAACACTTTTTATATTTTTGTATTTGAATACTGATTAAAATTGCAATGCGGCAGATGTATTAAAACCAGATTTCAAAAGACAAATATTCTAATCAATGATGTAATGCTCTGTGCAAATGAATCACACGCCTTCAAGATTCGTAATAAGCATGGAAATACATCTATTACATTTATAATGGTAAATTATAAAATCCATAAAGACAAAATAATGCATCTCATTCGAACGCTAAGGTAAGATCAATGATAATTCTCATTTCTATTAATTTTGATTAGTTTGCTTTATGATAATTAAAAAAACATCTTAAAAAATCTGATAAAAATGATTAATATGTGATACTTTAACAATTATTTATTTCTTATGTATTTCTTTATGATATCTATTAAATTAATGACAAATGTATAAATATTTCTACTAAAAATTAAGCCTATTTTATGTACTTTTTTTCTTTGTCTCAATTTCTTACATAAAACACATACACAATACGTGTGGCTTATGTAAATTATTTAAATAAATTAATATTTAAAAATTCAAAGTTTATTAAATAAATAATCATTAATTAATTGATATTTCTTTGTCAAAGACACTTACATCTAGAAATTACAAAAACAGGACGACAAATAAATAATATTTATTGTCTGCAACTTTTACTCGAACTAGCGGTTCATTTTACAATAGTGACATCGAGTATTTATTGTTTATATCTTACATATTCTGGCCAATTACACATGGTCAATAACGAAAAGATTATTGCCTTAGCAATATGGGCGTCTATATATTCAATTAAAATTATATTAGTGAATGCACTTTGCACAAGTGTATCATCCGAGGTATAAAAAACTATTTTTATGATAAAAATAAAATATACAATGTGCATTATTTAGAATTAAGTTAAACATATCATGTTTAAGAATATTACATAAATTATTTTTTATATATATATTAATTCTATATACTCAGTGTATCTCTTAAATACTTATATGTATATACGAGCATAATAATTTATTTTCCATGAAAATATGTATAACGCGCACACCATACTGTCCGATTTATTCGTGACTTTACATTAAATTCGCATCGTGCATTAATATTTATTTCAGGCATATAAAACCGGTGAAATTATACAATCCTTTGAAGCATCTATTATCGATGATGATATGAGAGAAGAGGTAAGTCTGTTCATGTATTATTGATAATTATATAAATTAAATTAGAGCTTTTTTTATAACGTAAAACATTATTAATATTTATATACAAAATCACAGATTTGTATAAGTTCAATGTACTACATAACATAATTTGGATAATTACGTGGTGTGGACAAAAACTTCATGCACTGAATTTTTTCTGCTAACATAACACTGCAGGTTTCTATGACGATGGCATAACGTATTCTAGGAAGTCTAACAAATACGTTCAGTATAATTTTATCATTGACGATTGCACATGCAATTTTTTGTATCAATAATTATTGAAAATAGTTTTTTTAGCACCGTCGAATGAAATGTGATTTTTAATAAAAACAGAATATGTATTAAATGGAATTGTTTGGAATGGATTTTAATTGAAATTATTCAATTATTTTCTAGATTTTTAAGTGTTTTGTAAGTAAAACGAAATAATTTTAATTGGAATTCATTTTGATTTATTTCATGATAAATGTCCTGAGAAGTTTTTTTGTGAAACTCGGGAAAAATGAACCAGAAATTTATGAAATGATACAAATAGTCTGATTATACATTTCTAGCCAATTCTTTCCAAGTTTTACAAGAAATTTGATTTTTCTTATTGTCAAAATATCACGCCCCATTCCGATGGTGCAAAAAAACCTATTCCTATAATTATTGATACAAAAAGCTGCAATCATTGACCAAAATTGTACTAAACGTATTCGTTAGACTTTACTTCTACTACACGCATAGAAACCTATAAAAAATTCAGTACACGAACTTTTCCTCTATATGACGCATATAAATATATAATATTTAAGTATATAATAAGAATGCAAAAATGTGTTTACAGATTCATCAATTTACACAACAAATAATGCTTAGATCATTAAACTTTACCGCTTTTGGTTTCTTTTCAATTAATAATTCTCTTACCGGCAAGGTATGTCATTTACTATTTATTTAACTTAATCAATTTAATAAGATTCTATTATTTATTTATTTTGAGTAATAATGTTTTAGTATATAATAATTATATATAACAAAAGTAAAGTGAAAAGCTATATTATGTAATTATGAGATTAAAGAAAAAGATAAGAAACTGCATATATTTTTTCAGTTCTTTGCCACGGTCACAACGTATGTGGTTATTTTAATACAAATAAACTTCGTACCTGCAATCCGTACGATAAAATAACATGTAGAGAAAGTAAAATAAGATGAGACTTCAAATATATTAGATCAGTTAGATGAACAATCTTTTATTAATAGTATTTCAAAAAACAGAAGTTTATGAAGCAATTTAATAAGGGCTTACATAAAATATTATTCTTTATAAATGTCGTGTATTTAATATAGAATTAAATTTTTCTCAAACATATTCAAATGTATACAATAAATTAATTTAAAATATTTAACATCGTAAATTGATTAGTAAAATTTTATTAATTTTAGTTTTCTTATAATTTTGCTTTCTTTTGCAATGCTGAAAATTCTAATAAATCAAACTGCGATGATTCAAAAAGGTAAGTAGAATAGTATAATAATAAATTAACAAAATATAATTTTTTTTCTAAGTAATATATTTTTTATATCTGGTAAGAAAGGAAAAGCTATAGTCTAAGTGTGATGTATGTATTGAACCAATTTCTTTTTTTTCTCAAAACATTTCTTTATTTCTTTCCTTTAAATTTTTGAAAATTCCACCATTAATTTTTTATGTAACAATGCAAATTTGTAATATATTTAATGTAAATGTAAGAAAATTAAATATTTCTTTATAATATACGAAAATAAATGTGACGATATAAAGTCCCTTTTATTGTTCATGTACAATTTTAGATGTCATATTAAAATAATAAAATTTATTTGCATTTGCAATATTTAATGTCAAAAATTTACATTGATTCATAAGATTTCTGTTTTTTTTATTTTTTAATATCTAAATGATGATTCTTATGCATTTTATTTCATAAAGTAAAAAAAAGATTTATAAATTGTTTAAATTTGTAAAGTATTTAAAAATATTGTAAATTTCTTGATTTCTTAAAATCTATTAATGGAATTATGTTAATGGAACTTTTTAATATTTATTCTTACTAAATATTTAACTTTATATTCTTTGTTAGCAACTGAAAGTACATGTCAACAAAGAAAGTACATAATAAGAATCAACATTCAGATGTTCGAAAATTGAAATCTTGTAACACAGTATAATTTACTACAATAGACTGTTAGAAAACAATGTAATTGATTATCGATCAGTTCAATTAATTAAACAGTTATTGCTCTTGTGAATAATTATTCCTGAATAGTTATTCAGTTTTGAAAGATTGATTGTATTCTACGTATAGAAAGTAGTTTTGCAAGTAGTTTGATAATTAATCTATTTGCACGTAGACCAATTACAGTGTTACTTTTTGTATTATCATATTTTTCAATTTATACTCATACTGTATGCATGTACAATCAATAGAAGTTCCACGAGTATAATTCAACAAGTAATATTAAATATCTATATTTATACTTCACGTAATTAAAAACTAGGTCAAAAGATGTACAATCATTTTATTAGAAATATGTTACAATAAATTACCGAGACAGAGATGAGCCTACAGATTGCAATTATTTCTTGTCGCTATGTTAAACGTGCTTCTTAGTAAAGAGAAAACGTCAGGCAAGCTATGCTACAAGTAATCGAAAGTATTATACAATATATATTACTGACGTAAAACATGCGTGTAATAAGTGAAATTGCATGACTTACAAAGGCTGGTGATGATATCACATTAACATGCGAGATCATTTATCAGCTGTTAGTTGTTCGCTGATGAGAGAATTCATTAGGGTTAATCTGCATTAGTACTCTGTTAAATTTAGTTCTTACAGCCATTTAACAGATACAACACGTTTTTTCCGTACTTTACGACAATTCGGTCACACTCGCAATTAAAGAACTTTCAGTGTACATTTCAGTTATTCGATATTCATCGTTTATATGACTTATCGTTTCAACGAAGATACCGCAGTAAAATTATATATCAAAGTTAAAAAAAGGAGTAAGCTTATTCATAAAGTGTTAATTATTAGCATCATTTAATATAAATATATATTTGTTAATAATTGTACAAATTGATAGTCTAGATTGATAGTGAATGGTTTAAAATAATGTCGAGTGTGAGAAATTTGAAACAAGCAGTTATGCCTATTATATGGCTCAACCGTATATTTTGCATGGGTATATTCGAAATACCGATAAATCGCCCACGATATTTTTTTAGTATTTTCTACGTCATCTCGATAATGATTGGTTACTTTATTATACTTTACAAAGGAATTGATATCTTCCAGCAAGCATTTGCTTATGAGTTTATTATATTTCATTTTGTCTTGGGAATCAACATCTTAGTTGCCATTTTGGCTATAATTCTGTTTTGGTGGAAATCAGAGGTACGTAAGTTTTATGTAAAAGCGGCAATGAGAGGTATGAACAAATTGCACTAACAAATTATAGAAATATCGATATTCAATTAATATAAGAATATATAATAAAAAAGTCTTCCTCTTTTATATTATTTTTATGAATTATAGAAATGTTTACGCGCATATACATATTTTTCTTTGATATCATAACGTCTTATGTTTACGTAGTAACAATAAGTTGTTGAACAAATTGACTATTTTATTAACAAATTTTAATTTTTAAAGAATATAAATATCATGATTAAGAGGAATAATATAGTGGACAATACTTTAGAAGCATTGGGTATAAAAAGAGAGTATCAAAAACATTTTCGCAATATTCTGTCTCTTATGGCTCTCTGGCTAACAGGCATGATAATAATATGCATCTTGCATATAATGTGGACGTATATCAATGTTGGATACTGGTTTGCCTTTTATAGCTGTATATGTTTTATTTTTCCGATTATGATAAATTCTGTAGTAGACCTCACGTTCGCCTCATTTATCAGGCAAGTAATATGTTTCTCAAAGAATACTCAAATATATTATGAGAAGTTTGTGTGAAGTATTAAAACTATTAAAATTTCTTTAATTTCTAAGACATTTAGTCGATTGTAGTTATTACGAGATATTTCTTTTTAAATTGTTTGGACAAGTGTAACACGCTTCTATTTACGTACTTGCGCACTGATCAAAATTACAATACGATAGATGCGTCCAAACCAAATTTCAGAAGACAAATACTCTAATCAATAATGTAGTATTCTGTGCAAATGAATCAAATATTTTCAAGATTCATAATCAGCATGAAAATACGTCTATTGCATTTGTCATGGAAAATTATAAAAATCATAAAGAAAATATAATGCATCTCATGCAGACTTTAAGGTAAGATATCAATAATTATTCTTGCTCCTATATATTATGAAATTTCCATTAGTATATTATAAACATCAAATCTTGTTAATAATGATTAAATATATAATACTTCAAAACATAATTGCATTTTATCGTATAATATTTATTGATAACATTTATTAAATTAATATTAGGTGTTGGAATTAATTCGTAGCGTTTTTTTAATGAAAGAATGTTATTTATTTCACATGAGCATTAAAAAATACATTAATGAAAGTACTTCCCATCACTTTCTACTACTTTTGACCATCTTTCGGGCAGTGAATGAATACCGCGTCGGAAGAACTGTTCATCTTTAGATGAAATCCAGGAATCGAACCATTTTGTACAATCTTCGTAAGATGTGAACTTCTGCTCGCACAAGCTATGAGCTAATGATCGAAACAAGTGGTAGTCGCTAGGTGCAATATCAGGAGAATACGGCGGGTGCGGTAGCACTTCCCATTTAAGTGTTTCCAGGTATGTTTTTACCGGTTTTGCAACGTGTGGGCGAGCATTGTCGTGCAGCAAGATGACTTTATCGTGTCTTTCGAAGTATTCCGACCGTTTTTGCTTCAATGCACGGCTCAAGCGCATCAGTTGCCGTCGGTAGAGATCTCCAGTAACGGTTTCATGCGGTTTTAGCAGTTCGTAGTATATGACACCCTTCTGATCCCACCAAATACAGAGCAGGAGCTTTGAGCCATGGATATTGGGCTTTGCCACTGATGTTGATGGTTCGCCGGGCTTAACCCATGACTTTCTGCGCTTTGGATTGTCATAATGGATCCACTTTTCGTCACCGGTAACAATCCGATGCAAAAAACCTTTTCTTTTCTGCCGTTGAAGCAGCAGTTCGCACGTGAGAAAACGTCTCTCAATATCCCTTGGTTTCAATTCATATGGGACCCAATGTCCTTCCTTCTGGATCATGCCCAAACTTTTAAGACGTTTTCCTATTGTTGAGAAGTCAACTTCCAATGACGTAGATAATTCTTTAAGTGTTTGACATGAGTTTTCATTGAGCAGCAAATCGTGCCTGCAAATCGTTATCTTCAAATTTTTTCGGCTGACCAGGTCGCTCCTTGTCATCCAAGTCGAAATCACCAGCTTAAAACCGTGCAAACCACTTCCTACACGTTTGCTCAGCCAGAGCATGTTCACTATACACATCCACTAAAATACGATGAGCTTCAGCACATATAAAATGTGCCAAAGCAAAACGTTGTATCATTTTTTAATTTTTCGGGAAAAAGAAAAACTTATTTTCTTGAAAACCATTATCTCAAAATTTTAAAAGAATTATCATATTATATTATTATTATATTATTATTATAATATATATATATATATATATATATATATACAATTTCAATGTAAATCAAAGTAAAAATAATATTTTAAAATAAAAATACAAGTTAAATTGTTATAAGTCCAAGTAAAAATGCTAATCACATTATGGATTTACAATATGTTTCGATTTTTACTATCCATTTTTCTCACTTATAGCAGCACATTCCACGCCAAACAATACGTGATAGGACAGAGCAGTTTAAAGTTATAATCTATTTATGAACTAAAACACATTTTCATGATTTTTGCACTTACAATGTTTTAGCGTGAAAACACAATAATTTTTACAAACAGTTTAAGAGTTACTTTATAACATAAATTATAGAAATCAAATTAAATGATTTAGCTGGATCTTAATGCTTGTATGATTCTTGTGTGAATTTATATACTACGTAATTTCTCTAGAAACGCGCGCCGAAATGATTTTTTTGAAACACTAACTCCATTAAACTATCGCAGTAATATCACACATACGTAATATATAAATTCACATAAGAATCATACAAGCATTAAGATCCAGTTAGATCGTTTAAGGCTTTGATTTCTATAGTTTGTGTTATTACGGTCCTGTATTATATTGTTTATACATTCTCCCTTTACATACGCATACACGTACGCACGTACGTATGCATGCGCGACGCATGCACAAATATTTAAAAAAATTTTAATATTATATTTAAATAATCACTAATTAATTAATATTTTTCTGTTAAAGACATTTACATTTGGAAATTACAAGAATAGGAAGACAAATTAATTCTGATTATTGTGTGCAATTTCTGTTCGAATTGACAGTCCATTTTACAGTAGTAACATCGAATGCTTATTATTTATATTGTGTTTTTTCTGGTCATATAACGGTCAATAATGAAAAAGTTATTGCCATGACAATATGGGGAAGCATTTATTTACTTAAAATTATATTAATAAATTGGCTTTGCACGAGTGCGTCAACCGAGGTAAAAAAAATATTTTTTGCGATAAAAATAAGATGCATAATTACAAATAATATTTAGAATGTAGTTATTCATAGTTAAACACATATCAAGTTTAAGAGAATATTACAGAATTTATTTGTTATATATAAATTGTATACTCAGAGTATCTTTTAAATACCCATATAAATATAAAAATAATATTTTAATTCTCTGTAAATATATAACACGCATAGCACACATACTATTTAATTTATTTCTAGCTTTATATTAAATTCGCATTGTATATATAAATATTTATTTCAGGCATATAAAACAAGTGAAATTCTACAATCTTTTGAAGGATCTATTATCGATAATGATATGAGAGAAGAGGTAAGTCTGTTTATGTATTATTAATAATTATGATGGAATCACAAAATGCTCGATTTCTTGAATGATAGCATGTATACAGTCATGTCTGCTCTGATGCATGCTAGAATTCGTTTATGTTATATAATTGAACGCTATATGCTGCATATACATAACTTATATTTATTATGGATTACTTCAGCTTATTTCCTTGCATGCACCAATCAAAAGAAATAATTACTAATTTCGCAGTTATTTGTCAAACGTCAGACTGTATGCATCAAAGCATAGCAGCATGTGTGCATGCTTATCATTCAAGAAATTAAGCATCGTGTAATTTTATCTTTATATGAATCAAATTAAATTTTCCTTCATAACATAAAACATTATTATTAATATTTATATACAGAGACTATTTTATTTCACATATAAATTGCAAATTTGTATAAAATCAATGTATTGTTTACATATATAACTTAGGTAATATATAGTTACAATAATTAGGCATATAATAATAAGAATGCAAAAATGTGTTTGCAGATTCATCAATTTACACAACAAATAGTGCTTAATTCATTAAACTTTTCTGCTTGTGGTTTCTTTTCAATTGATAATTCACTTACTGGCAAGGTATGCTATTTATATATTTGTTTAACTTAATCAATTAAATAAGCTATAATGTTATTTATTCCTAATAATAATGTTTTTAATATAATTTTATATAAAAAATTAAAATATGATACTACGTTATTTAATTTAATCATATGACATATTTGAAAATGAAGAAAAAGAAAAAACCATAGACATTTTTTTCAGTTTTGTACCACGGTTACGACGTATGTTGTTATTCTAATACAAATGAATACAATCGTAACATAATCTGTGCAACAAAGTGAAAAGAGTAAATGTAAAATAAAAAATTTGAACACATTAGATAAATCTTCCATTAAAATACTACTATTCCAAGGAATAAAAATTTACGAAATAGTTTATAAGTGCTTTAAAAAAAAATACTATTCTTTATAAAGTCACGTGTATTAATATTCAGGTAGAATAAAAATTTTCCAAACATATTAAAGTGTATACATTAAATTTATTAAAAATATTTAATTATTATATAAACTCGATTAAAATTGATTAAAATTTTATTAATTTTATTTCATCTATAATTTTGCTTTCTCTTTACCATAGGAAAACTTTGAATAAATCAAATTACAATAATTTAAAAAAGGTAAATTGTATAACAATAAATGAGCAAATAATAACTTTCTTTTTCAAATATATAAATTATTAATACAATAAGAAATTTAATTTTTATTAATATACAATAATTTAAAGATCATCGGAGAGAAAATTTGTTTATTAAGTACATATATGTATATATAGAAATATATATATATATATTAGGTGTTGGAATTAATTCGTAGCGTTTTACAAGTGATGGGAAGTACTTTCATTAATGTATTTTTTAATGCTCATGTGAAATAAATAACATTCTTTCATTAAAAACGCTACGAATTAATTCCAACACCTAATATATATATTATGTGCATGTATATAAATGTATATAAATGTATACATATATTTGTTGTGAATAATATGTAGTTTAAATATATAGTTTAAAAATGACACATTCTTTGTAGAAATATTGATTCTCATCCTAATTATGTATTATACATACATACATTATATATACATATATATTTATGTACATATGATATCGTTTAATGATTTAACGACATTGTAATGAGTTGATCTAATCAAATAATCGTGATGAATATCCTTTTATATATTATATGATTCTCAACTTGGCATCCATGCAATAGTTAGTTCTTGAAATTGCAACAGTTACGATCATGGTTGATACTATACAAAAAGCTTTTAGACCTCTATCCTTGATTGCTTTTCTCCTTGGTTTCGGAAATCTCAGATATCCTCTCAATTATTGGAGATTTCGCTTAAGTGTTTTTTATGTAATAATTGTGTGGAGCCTCTATAAATATGCGTTTAATGCTATGATAGATGCTTTTACGCCAAGACATATTTTTAATAATCATTTGTCTTATTATTCGATACAAACAAATATTTTTGTGACATTAATATCTGTAACCATCACCGTTCTCAAACACCAGGTATATCTTTTCTTTATAAATATTACATCATTGTTCTAACATCTAATCTAAAGTGAAACAGATAATACACAATAATATTAAATTGCTATTTTGGAATTACTTTTATTATAATCAAATTTAATTAAAAATTAAGCTAAGTAAATTTATTTTTACATAGAATAAATCTTTGTGTTTCTTCAAAAAATTTTTATTTAAAAATATTAATTTTTTAAAAACTTTTACAAAATTAAGCAATTTTGTATTCAATTTATTTTGCGTTAGATAAATAAAAATTTTATTAAGATTCTTATCAAAGTTATTGTTTTATTACCGTTACTGTTATGTATTACACATATATGTTCCTTTATTATTATGTACATATACGTTTCTTGCATACTTTTCTAAAAATGATACAATTTATATATTTTCTTGTCTTCAGAAAATCCACATATGTATAAAGAAACTTAGTCTCGTGGATGATACATTAGAAAAACTCGGAACACCTAAGGAATATCACACAATTCAAAACTTGATAAAATCGACGTTAATTGTATATTTTATAGTGATTCTTATATTATTTATTACCGATTCTATTTGGAATATAGAAAAGCACAACAATATAAAAGCCATGTTTATTGGTTTCATTATAGGATATCCTATTTATGTTAGCACTATTGGAAATATAATATTTGTATTTATTGTAAGGTTTGTAAACTATATTTGATAAAAACTATTATAATTAAAGTTGCTTAAAAATAAACGTTAATACTTTTGAGGCTTCCATAGGCACTTTACAGAAGCTATGCGTTTTACTGGTTAACTTTCCGTATATAGATCCATTATTAAAATACATTTCGTGAACATTGCAGTTCATTCATCAGTTTCATCAGATATCATGCTATTCTTCGCCCTGAGCATGGAAATAAATCGCAAAATGCATAGCTTCTGAATAAATTATTATTCGTATGTGACCAAATCTGACCAATTAAAATCTAAAAAAATTATATTGAATATTTAACTTAAAATTTTTTAAATGTGTATATATGTATCTTGAATAGTATTGCTGCGCTCATTTTAGAGATACTATTGTGTCTCCTGAAATTTATTAAATTATTTTATGTTGATGTCATACATGGGTTCAATTATTTGCTACTTCATTAAAATAAAATTTTCCAATCAATATAAAAATTCGTAAATTTATGATTATTATTTATTATATAAATTTATAAAATTCTAATTTAAGTAAAAGAAAAGAATTTGATAAATCTTTTAATTAACTACTGCTTATTTTTAACTACTGCGTACGGAAAGATATTAAAGACATCTTTTTAAATATTTTCTAAACAAAAAATCACAGATGTATCGGTACCAGATTGGATAAAATAAATGACTGTATTGAACAACTATCAGAGACAGAAGAGTGTGGATTGAGATGCAAGTGGAAAAAATCTCTCGTTATTCGTCATTATGTCTGTAATTCAGAGAATCGCAAGCGTGTAATATGGACCGTAATGTAAATTGATAGATACTAAAGTGACACAATAATAATTAAGAAAGCGATAATTCGTAAAAAGAGAAAATTATTATATTGACTGAACGTATAAGTGTATTATTATTTATCTGTTTAATAAGTGATAATTTTATATTTATTTATAATAATCTATTAAATTTCTAATTATAATTTACGTAATGTACAAATAAACATTAACTAGACAATACATTACATTCTATATATTTTTGCAGTAACAATTAAAATAAAATTTACTATTATTTGTGCAAAGTTGTTTAATCTGAGCAAATAAAAACTTTATGATTAATTACACTAATATAAATTAGTATCTACTTATTTAAATTATTATTTATCTTTTCTTAATTTTTTCGTATATTTTAGAATTAAAAATCAAAACACAATAATCACTAATTTATTCCAAATCAGAATTTTGATAAATTCTTCGCACATAAAAAATATAAAGTAATAACAAATCTGATAAATATAAATTTCTAATAGATATATTTATTTATTAATATAATGTCGTTTTAGGCATCTTCATTTGGAACTCTGTCAAATAGCTCGTGACATAAACGATTTATTCGGGACACAATTAACATTGCAGATGATATCTTGTTTTTTTATTTTAGTCACAACATTTTTTGCCCAATACCATATGATACTGTGCTTAACATATATATATGAAAACAATTCAGCTAAACTAAAACTTATTCTTGCCAACGACATATGGTGCATGGTATTTTTAACAAAATTCATATCACTGAATTATATTTGCGAAAATGTTAGTGCCAAGGTAAGCTAATTTTTGCATACTACATTATAAAAGAAAAATATCCTTACAAATAAAAGTTATAATATAATTTCTCTCCTCTCTCTCTCTCTCTCTCTCTCTCTCTCTCTCTCTCTCTCCCCTCTCTCTCTTTCTCTTCCTTCAAAATGACATCAAAACTTTTTTAGGAAATATAAATAATAATTGATGTACAAAAAGAATAAATGTTATAAAGGTGAACGTTTTCTTAGATATTAGAATAAAAGATTAAGTAATCTCACTCCTTTATAAAAATTACAATAGTTTAATCTTATAGATGTTTATACTCTATATTATTATTGAAAGTCATACAATTATTATAAATGTCAAAATTATAAATAATATAATTAACTTTATATAATTTCAGGTGCAAAAAACTAAAGTTTTGACACATAAATTAACAAATCTCATACGTTTTACAGAATCACGTAGAGAGGTGAAATAAATTTTTTAATACTTTTCTAATTGTAAATGATTTTTAAATAGCTTTATATAAGTATGTAACTTTAGGCAAGAATTATATTATATTACAGATTTATCAGTTTCTTTTGCAAATATCATTTCGGCCATTGGAATTCGGCGTAAAGGGCATATTTCATTTTGGTCATAAATTCATTAATAAGGTTATATAGTTTTTAATATTATTCACATTAATATAAGTTTAATTATGGAAAGAGAATGATTTTGCTGAAATATCTAAAAATCGAAGTCGATACAAAATAATTAAGAAAAAATAGTTTTAAATTCAAATATTAACAGTTTCAATGATTTAATCAATAAATAATAAATAAAATGTCTTTGAGAGAGTTATCGCTGATTAAAAAACATTGAAAAATAATAATATAATTAAACCTTAGTTTGTATAACGATGACATTTATTCCTTGAAATTTCGATCCTGGATCTAGATAAATAATTTTGTTGATCATCAAAATAATTATGTGGGGGACTTGAGCAATATTGCAAAAAATTATATTATTCTAGCAATCAGCTTGAGCATTCTACATAATTATTCTGACAATCAACAAAATTATTTTTAGATTAGTATCTGGTTAATTTTTCAGATACTTAGCAAAACTGTTCTTTCCATATAATAATAACCTATAGTTAAAATAAATAAATTAATTAAAGTAATGATATTTATTATATAATTGGTCTTTTTTCTTCCAGTTCTTTATATGGGTACTTACCATTATTATTTTTGTATTGCAAATGGATACTTCTCCCATGACTCAAATATCAAAAACTGAAGGAATTAATGAAACATGTTTCGAAAGAGATATTGTTATGTAGAAAAAAATACAATTATAATATATATCTTCCGTATTATTTTTTTTTAGCTTACAATTTAGGAATATAATTAATGTAGAAATTATATGTATAATTGTACGTATAATTGCTAATTAAATATTTATTTATTTAGTTTATGTATTTATTATATATTACCATCTGAATATTGTTATTTATTTTAATTTATTTTATAACTATATATTATCAAATAGTTGTACGTGCGTACAGTTTAAATAAAAGCTCTTTAAATATTTATAATATATAGATAAGTTCTTATTTAATTAATCATAAAAAGATTATAAACTGATATTTATTTAAAAAATTAATTTGTGTTTTATATTGATTATAAATCGAGCGGATAACCACTCAGAAAATAGATATACACCTAAACTTCTGACTTCATGACTTCACCGGACTTCACAGATTGTCATGGACTTCATCGAACTTCGACAGACTTTGCTGGACTTCACTAGACTTCAAGGAATTCGTTGGACTTCTGATGGGTTATACATTAGAATTCAAGAGTGGTTATCCTCTCATTATAAACATACATATGTAAGCTCATAAATCGATTATTAATTAAAAAAAATATCAAAATGTCTACCTAATTCGCACTTATCGTATAATTTTAATATAAAAATAAACATTTTAATTGATTACTAAGTTATTTGTAAGCAGATGTTTGAAAGTCTTCTGCTAGTTATTGGTGTGTATAAATGTGTATACGTCTAACGACGTTGATCGATTATGTCATTATGTGCCCACGTTTATAAAGGAATCATATAATTCATAATGCTAATACATTAATCCACTATTATGTTATTCTAGCATCTTGATAAGTAAATTATAAAAGAAGCTTATATGAGCTTCGAATTAATATACGACGTTAGTTTACGATCGGAACAACGGTAGTAATAACTATGGTGACTACTATAGAACAGGCTATACATCCACTAATCTTGACTTCTTCTCTACTCGGTTTAGGAATTTACTCTTCAAAGAAACCTTATTTAAGTGTTTTCTATAATCTGACATTATGGATTACTTATGGTTACCTTTTTTACTATATTGTGACCGTACTTAAGGTAGAGATATGGTTTCAATCAACCTATGCTATAATCGATACGCAATTTGGCATTCTTACCAGCATTACATCTGTTATCATAAATATGTATCTCAACAAGGTATATAGATGAGTATTCAATATGTGTTCATATTAATTTACGTTAATACACTAAAATATAAATGACTAAAATATAGTATTTTAAATGGTATATTATAATTCATTTTTTTTTTTACGCAGTTTTATATGTATATAGGAAAATATATACATAGAATTGTTGCGTAACGTTATATTCAGAGATTTCAGATAATCGTAAAAAGACTTGCTGCCGTGGATAATACGTTGAAAGAATTAGGAATACCAAAACTGTATCACAAATTGTACATACGTGCAAAAGGGATATTAATTGGATGGTTAATATGTACTTGTATAGGAAATATGTGCGATATGACATGGTGGTTCTATATAAAAGAAGATCGTCGGTGTTTACTTATACCGTATATCACAAATTATTTCTATCATGTCAATATGTTTGTGGATTTATTATTTATAACTATTCTATGGTTGGTATATTATTTAGAATATGTTTAAGTATACTCTGTAATTTTTATATAATTATCAAAATAATTATATAATTATCAAATAATGCATTCAATATATATATATATATATATATATATATATATATATATGTGTGTGTGTATTTTTTACAAAAAACTTTACAATTATTTTTTTATACAGTTTTTAATATTTTTTAGTAAAAATAACGAAGAAAAAGAAAGAAAGAAAGAGAGAGAGAGAGAGAGAGAGAAAAGAAATTTTATTAAAATCTATATTTAATTCATAGGATTATAAAAAACATGTTCTAGAATATTCCTGTAGATATAAATGAAGCAGGGTTATAGGAATTTTAGACCTTGTAGTAATCATATACAAATTTATTTATTATTGTTGTTTCGATTTATTTTTTATAATTTATAATTGGAATTGTTTTTTATATACACAGGTACATCGGTACTAAGTTTGACAAGATAAGCGAATACATGAAATGTTTGTTGGTGAAAGATGGACACGAATTAAAATGTACACAGAAAAAAGCTGTAATGATCCCGTGTCAATATGTCACGTATACTGACAATTACAAACACGCGATATGGATTTCAATGTAAATTGGAATACAAACATGTTGGATAGATCACCCATTTAATAATCTAACATTAAAAATAGTGCATTTGGGATTTGGTAGAAATTTAACTTATCCAAATAATAAAGAAATGATTTTGTTTTCTGCTCATATGTTTTTTTACTGTGCTTTTACTAATAAATATTTTTTTTTATAGGCATCTACATTTGGAATTGTGTCAAATTGCTCGTCAATTAAACGTAATATTTGGAATACAAATAACTATAGAAATAGGATCTTATTTAATATTAATAGTGAGATTATGTAACTACATTTTTGTACATATAAAAACGGAAGGTCGTTTTTTAGTTTCAATGTTTAATTGGTTTAGTCTATATTATTGGATATTCTTAGGTGTGACCAAGATATTCTTTTTAAATTATATCTGCGAAACTGTTACTGCTAAGGTAAATTTTTATATATTTTAGATATGTATATGCACGTATATATACTTATTAATAATAATAAATAATAATAATAAATTTTAGTCTAACAAAATAAAAGTAATTCATCAATTAACAGATTTTCATCGATACATTGATATTCGTGAAGAGGTAAAACAAATTTTAATAAAAGAAAGATAATTCGAATAAATTGTTTAAATTTTAATAACAATTTTGTGTATGCAGATTTCTCAGTTTATATTACAAATAATACAGCATCCATTAAAATTCACAGCATTGGATTTCTTCTATCTCGGTAATAGCTTTATACAAAAAGTAAGTTCTCATTTATATACATATTTTTTATACTTTTAAAATTTTTATATTGTATACTATAAATTATAAAATATGTGTAATTATCTTTAATGAAATTTTATATCACATTTTACTGTTATATAACAAAAATGTTAATTATAACATTTTATTGTTACGTAACAAAAATACTGAATTAAAATAATTTTATTTTCCATTAAATCTTTAGTCAGAAAATTTAATTTTTATATTTTTTTCAGTTTGTCATAACAATTATAACATTCATTATCATTATAATGCAGATGTCTCCCATACCACACACACATAAAGAATACGATGGTTTCTAAAAAAAGTCAACTAAATCAGATTTTGTTAACCATAAAATCATATAAAGTATAAAAATTGTTATACGTAATATAATTTTATTTTTATTAATAAATATGATTACTTCTCTCTCTCTCTATTAATTACCAAATTTTTTCTCCTAATTTTTTTTTATATCTTTATAGTAAATATTTGAATTAAACGCATATTATAATTATAATTATAAGCACAAGTTCCGTAACAAAAGAAAAAAACATAACACACTTCTAAATATAATTGGAATATTTTAAATATTCCAATAATAATAGATTAAATAATAAATTATGTAAGCAACTATAATAAAATGTTATAATCCTATATAATTTTTTATAGTATTTAATTCTATATATTTTTTAATTCTATATACATAAATTAAATCTTAATAAACACTACTATTTATATCGAAAATAAGAATAAGTGACTCACGATTACTAAATGAAAACATGAGAAAATGAGTATTAATATCAATCTTTATCAATCTTTTCCTGTCTTCCATTCTCTATTTCTTTTTTTATATTATTGTATTTTCATATATCAATTTATTGTGTATATATGTGTCAATTATTATTTATGTTTTATGCAATATTATATTATTATATAATAAAATTACTAAAAATGACATAATAAGCTTTTTATGTTAATATTATTTAATATTAAATCTTGTTATATGTATATTTTATATTTATTACAATATTAGAAAGACATTATATGAGAAAAATAACATTAAATTGCTTTGCATAGAGAAACACACAAAATATTAATCAATGTATGAATATTTCAACAACTTCATAACGTATATTCAATGACGAATCATGTTTATTATTTATTAAATTAGATATATCTTTTTAATATTTGCGTAAGTGCTCTAAAAAACAAACATTGCGATAACAATGAATTCTTACTAATATTTTTATGGCGCAAGTAGATTTTTTCTTACATGTAAGTATAGATCGAAACTTGTAGCGAAGATAGTGTAACATAAATACATACACATACGATAAATAACAGGAGAATAGTACAGTAATCAAAATTCTTTAAACTATCTTTTTAATATCATGTAATATTATCATGTAATATTTGTATTTTATTTAGTAATCATGATTTTCTAAGGTATTATAAATAAATGTATTAATTTATAAAATATATGCAATATAAATAATTACAATAATATTAATTTAATATTTTCTGTATCTTATTGTTATGTTATATGTTCCTGGGAAAAAATGTTATATATACATATATATGGACATATTTTATAATACATAACTATTTATAATTTTATATAATTTTATGTAATTATATATAAAAATTTTTTTTGCTGTTTATGAATTTATCAAATCAATTTACATTACTTATGTTTTATATACATTTGTTTCTATATATTAAAGGAAAGTTTCTTTAGCGTTTTATTATAGAATTATATCCTGACTAATTGATTATGTAACGTACAAAATAATGATTTTTTAATTCAAATTACCAATTTATATTAATTATGAAGACAAGTTTACAATTTTTTTTATATAATTAATTTATATCTATTTGTCATATAAATTTAATAATAATTATTGTACTAAATTTTATGAGCAAAAAAATATTTTAATTAAAAAACATAAGCAAAAAAATTAATAAAAAGAACATGTTTTTTAAACGTTTTGTAAATGTTTATTTTTTATTAATTTGTTCAACATTATAAAAACTCT